AGTAATAAAATATTTCTTATTACCCCTAGATGGTACGTATTTCATATAACATATATCAGCATGTATTAAATCTAACAATTCAATTCATTTTTCAATAGAAGTAAAAGGTAATTTTAAAATTTTTAATTTAACACACACTTGACATTTATTATTTAAACATTCAATTTTAGGCAATAAATCTAAATAAATTAAACTTTTAATTGACTTAAAATCAACATGTCCTAATCTTTTATGCCATAAATTAGAAGACTCAGGCAAATAAACAGAAATAACGTTATTATTAATATTAACAACATCATTGGTTACAGTCATTACATTCAGTTTAAAAAGGCTTTTACTAAGATAGCATTTTCCTACATACACATCATCCTTGGAAACTACAAACTTATTAGAAACAAATACAAGCTTAAAATCATTCTTTCTCATAAGAGATCCAGACACTAAGTTCTTGTGAATATCAGACACATGGAGCACATCAATGAGTGTCACGATCTTGCCAGAAGTCATCTTCAAAGCCACATTCCCAACACCTTCAACCTTTGAAGCAGATGAATTACCTATATAGAGTTTTTCATCATCCTTCGCAAGAGTGTAGGAGGAGAACTTCCACTTGTTTGTACAGACATGCCTGGTGGCACAAGTGTCCACCCACCACTCCTTAGTGTCTCCTACTAGGTTACACTCCAACACCACCATCGACAAGTTCAGATATTCAACTTTTTCACAAGCGATATCAACCATGTTGGCTTGAGTGGTCTTTTTTTTTTATAGATTTATGTGGATTCTTACAATCCTTTACTCAATGGCCAGGATTACTGCAATTGTAATAATTTCTCTTGAACTTTTTTCCTTTGCCTTGTTTAGCATTTCCCTCTTTGGAATGTTTTCGCTTCTTCGACCTTGATCCCTCTTTAATAACATTGGCCCTAGAGACCACAAGATTGTTGTCAAATTTATTTTCAAAAATCTTGTTGTCTACTTGTATCCTCAACCTCACAATCAGATCTTTAAGTGAGATCTCCTTACACTTATGCTTGAGATAATTCTTAAAAACCTTCCAGGATGATGGCATTTTTTTCAATAAATGCAGTAACCTGGAATAATTCACTTAGGGTCATCCCCTTGATATGAATTTCACGAACTATTACTTGAAGTTCTTCAACTTGATTCTTCACATTCTTAGAGTCTTCCATTTTGAAGTCTAGAAATCTGTCGACTATGAACTTTTTCAAGGCTGCATCCTCTGTTTTGTACTTCTTATCTAGACTTTCCTAGAATTCTTTACTGGTGTTCAAAGTGCTATACACTTTATACAAGGAATGTCTAGACCATTGAGGATATAGTTTCGACAGAGAAAATCAGATCCTTCCATGCATCAACTGCAGATACCTTCTCGCTATCAAGTTGTTGTCATTCTTCGAACTTAGGAGCATCTTCCTTGAGAAACTGTGCCAAACTTAGGGTTGTCAAATAGAACAACATTTTCTGTTGCCAACGCTTGAAATCAATCCCATCGAATTTTCAGGCTTCTCACCAAGAGTCGAAACAGAAGTAGTTGGATTAATCAAATTTGTACTTGCCGAAGCAATTTCTGTTACACAAGTAGAAACTCCGATCAATCACACAAATTAATCTTTTAATTGCACAGTAAATAATATATAATATAGAAATATAAAATATACTGAATACAAATTCAAAGCAAATTGTCTTAAGATTGTTGTTAAAAGACAATAGGAGAAATCACCGAAAGATTTGAATCCGTTTCACGAATATATTGTAGTTAATTCTACAAGCAAAGTACAATAAAAAATATATGATAAAACTCACATAATGTTAGAAACAGATGCTTGTATGCAGAAAATCCGAGACCAACATGTGTTGTCTCTTTAAGACAATTTGTCCCCTATACCGGTGCCAAAAGAATGAAGACAATTGTCTCCCAGGATAAAACAAATCGTGTCTTAAGAATGTGATGACACTACCAATTCGGGGTCCCCTCGAACAGAACCAAATGCTTGAGAAATCACACTTACTAAATGTACTTATATAGACACCGATCGAACACGATGAATTGCTGTCGGCAAACCATTACAATTGACAACAGCAAACCAGTATTGGTTCGGTTAATTATTTTTTTATCTCATACACGACCGACCAACCGTGCTGGCTGGCCAGACAGCGACGTTGTGCACGTGTGGTGGACCAAGGCCCATATGTGTCCTTCCTCCTCCACGTCCTTCCTCCACAAAAGTGGTGTGCTCTAAGGGAAAACTAAAGAGGTGAAGTGGAGGGTTATAAACCTTTCCACTTCTTATTTCTTGTCCAATGTGAAACTTTTATCCACACATCCCTTTCACCTTTCCTCCTTCTCTTCTTCTTCAACTCACTTCTTATTCATAACTCATGAGATTTAGATATAAAAATCCAACAAGTAATAGAATGGATGCAACCTAATCAGTTTTTGGAAAAACTTGTGACGCGGCTGGTTTTAATGCATATTTATTATGAAAAAAGTTATACTTACAACATATTTTCTTTACAACCTCTTACAACCATATATCTTAATCGTTGATTTTCACTAATCAACGGTTATCATTTATTGTGATTTAATAATTAATTAATAAATTTAATTTGTAAAAATCTTAACCGTTGATTGGCGGAAATCCACGGTTAAGATATATGGTTGTAAGAGGTTGTAAAGAAAATAAGTTGTAAGTATAACCTTCTCCATTTATTTTTATTATTATTATTATTTAAAAAGAAGAAGAAGAAACGACGTGGTTAGGACAGGAGAGATTGATACTAACAACAACCTAACCATGGCCATAGAAAACACAGTGCAGATCTGCTCAACGCGAAGAAGAAAAGGATAACCACGACCACCAACCACCTGTTCCACGCGAAGTAAAAGCATTGGAAGAAATCCATTCCTGCGTAACATTTCGGTAACTTGCGGAACCGCTGTCCCCACTTCCTCTTTGCCTTTTTTTATTAAAAATAAATAAATCTAATATAATAGTTGAATAGTTATTATATTGATTATTATTCACCCTACAGCCATTGATTCAGTGGTTTTCATCTTAGATGTAGTTTTTATATAAATTTTACCATGCTTCGCCAACCCATTATCTGTTTGACAAAATGCATAAATGACACGAAGCACTGATCTATCTTTTCTCTGACTAAACTCTGCCACGCTTTGTAGAAGCATCCACCAGCTCTACTAGGCCAAGGCTCTCGTTTTTACCCTCATTGTGTATCCATCAATTCTTTCTTGCAAACCTTTTGAACCATGTGATATCTCAGCTCTTAGTTAAATCAGAGTTCAATGGATTTTACTAGTTTTTGTTTTTACCCTCCTAGTACAATCGATTTAAGTTGAAAATTCTGCATATTTTTCTTCAAATTTTAAGTGCCCACATTGAAGATATCAATCAGCAATCTACTAATTTACTCTGTCCTCTTACCTTCTGTAGATGAAAACCACATAGATAAGATTATAGGTCATATAAAGAAGCATTGAGTAATAAACTTTAGTTTGTATATATTCGTATGGCTTTGTGAGTTGTTATTGGGTAAAAGGAATCTGAAAGATTGCAATAGCAGTTGTTGGCTTTTTGGGACCAGTAGCAGTGGCAGAATTGTCACAATTGCAGGCTGTGGACAGCTGCAGATTAAGGGCTACAAGAACTAATAGATAAGAGCAACAGGAATATGGAACCATAGCAATGCAAACAAACACCTACAAGAAAAAAAAAATAAAAAATCTGATGAAATAATTATCTTGTGGTTTAAGTTTGATAGTAACTTTATTCTAATATTCCATGGCCTTTATAGTAAACTACAAGAATTTGTCATAAAATACTAACTGCAAACAAAGTCAATAATTAGAGAAGTTTTAGTGTCATCTATACTGAGTATGTTTATATTTTTTTAATATAAATTATAGATTTGTATATACTTATCGAGTGTGATTCAACCAGTAACCCACTGCTTAAACCAATGATCCAATACCTCGACTAGATCAATGACCGCATCGAGTTTAATAACATTGATATATTAGATAAAACATAAACTTTATCACGGGGTAAGATCACTTGAGCTCGGACACTGTGACATCATACACAGACAGAGAGTTGCCGTGAATGAATAAAAAGGAAAAATAAATAAAAAAATTCCGCAATCAGTACAAAATATTTGTGAGCTGCTGCAGCTTCGTTGGTACCTTGTCCTGGAGTATATTTTCTATATTATTTTAAAATCAATAACTATGTTTATATATTCTTTAGTTTGTCTTAGGCTCTTACGCCATCTTTGTTTAATTTTTGCTAGCTTCTCGCTTATTGACTGAGTTTCTTAGGAATTTCCGAACATAGAGTACGTAATTGTCTGTCATGTATATATTAAAAAAAAAAAAAAACATTAAGCGACATATTCAATTTTTTGCTTGGACAAGATCCTAGTGTTTTGAAATAATTAATTAATTTTATTTATATATTAGGGTAACATCACACCCCGCCAGAGAGTTGGCATGATTGAACAAAAAAGCAATTAGAGAGTCCTGGTCGGAAAATAGAGTTCGCAGGATTTGTCTAAATCATCTGAAATTTTTTTTTATCGAATTTTAATCAAATTTTTTTTTAGTACAACATTGGGGCAAAACGCCCAAAATTTTTAATCAATTTTTGCTTCGTCTTTGTAAACAACTGGCATTCTGTATGCAGGCCACTTTGATCACATCGACACATCATCATGACAATATGAACGTTGACTGTACTAAGACTGATTTTGTGCTAGAACCATTCAATTTTACTGTAAAATAATCAGACACTATACCCTTAAACTTGACCAACCCGGCTTCAGTGTAAAGGAATATAAAGTATGACAATGACCGATAGTCTTATATATTGTTGTTGTTGTATAGAGAAATAATTCACATTAGGAACATAGTTTGAAAACTGATTATACAGAAGGCAATTTTTTTTTAAACAATTGTCGTGATGGAAGACTTATGCCATTTCAGTGAGTTCAGTTTCAGTGGAGTTGAGGACAAATATAGTTCATCAAATGATAGCTTATGGGCTCCTGAGGGACTGAATGAAGTGAAAAAGGTTCATTTTTCTGGAGCAGAAGATTGGGGAGAGTCTTCTGGTTTTGGGTTCATTCCAAATGATCCAACTGAAGATGAAGGATACCTTCTATCCACTAAGTATCACCAACAACCATCATATGAGGATTATGGACGACCATTGGATAACCTACAATTTGACATGGTGTCTCCACCACTCCAACCTTACCTTGGGGAAAACATCCAATTTGATGAACAAAATCCAACCTTGGTTCCACTTTATGACCAAAAAAGGAAAAGCACAACTCAACTCATTTAACCTCACTTGAGATCTTGAATAACTATGGCAAGGGTTTCAAGAGGTTATGTGATGAAGGAAAAAGCCTGCAGCCAGTTCATGATTTGGGTGTAGTTAAAAATGAAGTTGGGAGAAAGCTTTCAACTGAAGATGTCATGAGGATAGCTGGAACAAGGTTCATTCAATCATCTTCAGAATCAGCAGGTTTACAATCCTTGGTGAATCACCCTTTTGGATTATCTTTATCTGAACTCTCTGATGAAGAGAAAGAGGATGTGGAACTTGCCGAATCACTCTTGGCTTCTGCTGAGAAAGTTGGCTGTCAACAGTTTGAACGTGCTAGCAAATTGCTGAGTCATTGTGAATCATTGTCTTCAAAAACTGGGAACCCCGTTAAGCGTGTTGTTCATTATTTTGCTGAAGTACTTCGCCAGAGGATAGATAAAGAAACAGGAAGAGTTTCGTATGAGGATTTGAAAAAGATGCAATCATTTGATCCTGAAGAGGCATTCAAGGACGTAAACCCTACCCTTTTGGCATTTGATGAAATGCTTCCTTTCTGTCAGGTTACACGGTTCACAGCAGTTCAAGCTATAATAGAAAATGTAACTGAGGCAAAGAAGATTCACATTATTGATCTTCAAATCAGAAGAGGGGTACATTGGACGACCCTGATGCAAGCCCTTGAATCAAGACATGAATGTCCACTTGAGCTTTTAAAGATAACAGCTGTTGGAAGTGGAACCACTTCAATACATATAATTGAGGACACTGGTAAGAGACTGAAAGATTTTGCTCAGAGTTTGAACATACCCTTCTCCTTTAACATAGTTATGGTATCAGACATGCTACATCTCAGAGAAGATCTTTTTGAAAGAGATCCTGAGGAAACAATTGCAGTTAATGCTCAGTATGCATTTGGAGGCAAGATTCAACAACCAAACCAACTTGAAACTATCATGAGAGTGATTAGAACCATTAATCCAATTGTAGTGGTGGTAGCTGAAGTTGAGACAAATCATAATTGTACATCTTTTGTGAAGCGTTTCATTGAAGCTTTCTTCCACTTCAGTGCATTCTTTGATTGTCCTGCTACTTGTATGCAACGGGATGAGAGACGAATGGCTATAGAATCAGTATACTACAGTCGAGGAATCAAGAATATTGTAGCTGCGGAAGGAGCAGAAAGAAAGACTCGATATGTAAAGATTGATGTTTGGAGGGCCTTTTTCCCTCGCTTTGGAATGGTGGAGACAGAATTGAGAATGTTATCTATATACCAAGCGGATTTGGTGGCTCAAAGATTTCCTTTTGGAAGTTTTTGCACATTTGATAGGAATGGGCATTGCCTTCTCGTTGGATGGAAAGGAACACCATTTTACTCTGTTTCTGCCTGGAAATTCATTTGATGGCAAATGCAAGTAAACATTATGGTTATTTTATTAGATACCAACCTGTCTAAAGTTCGGGCAGAATAATCCAGTTTCGGGTTTGAGTTTCTCCACATTTTTTGAAATTGCAACTCTCAAGTAATCTGTCGCTTATCAATGTCAGTGTATCATCCCATGTGCAGATCGCATTACTAGTTTTCATGGAAGATATCCAATGATTACTATTAACGGTGTTCACCTATGTTTACTATCTAGCATAAAAACAGTTTGTGGGGTGGTTTGCTATTTTAATTTCCGAGGAGGTCACCCATCCTAGAATTGCTCCAAGTCAAGCACGCTTAACTATGGAGTTCTTCCGTTCCGGGCTACCGAAAAGTAGATGCATCTTGTTAGTACAGGTAGTACCAATTAATTCTTATAAGTCATTCTCAACTGTACCGTCCCATACGAGCACAGTCTCTGAAATCTCTCTCTTTCGGGTGTTGATTCGATTCATTCATGTACCCCCGTCCCTAGAAGCCTGCCAGGAGCCGCTCCTTGTTTGTGCCCTTTCGCACCATGTCCTTTCGCACCGGTGATCACTCCCCGCCCTCGTTACCGCCCGAGATGTTACATGCCCACCAGCTTCCCCCTGGTTCGTCCTCGAACCACATCGTACTGAAAGAGAGGCCCTGCTCTGATACCACTTGTAACGCCCGGCCGCTTTAAGATTCATTGACTATCCCTACATACTAACACGAGACTTTTCAGTGTGCTTTTTTCTCACTCGCACACTTCCCGGGAAAACTTCCCAGGAGGCCACCCATCCTAGTACTACTCTCGCCCAAGCACGCTTAACTATGAAATTCTTCCGTTCTAGGCTACCGAAAAGTAGATGCATCTTGTTAGTATAGGTAGTACCAATTAATTCTTATAAGTCATTCACAACTGTACTGTCTTATACCAGCACAGTCTCTGGAATCCCTCTCTTTCGGGTGTTGATTCGATTCATTCATGTACCCTCGTCCCTAGAAGCCTGCCAGGAGCCGCTCCTTGTTTGTGCTCTTTCGCACCATGTCCTTTCGCACCGGCGATCACTTCCCGCCCTCATCAGCGCTCGGGATGTTACACTTACCTTGTTGATTTGGTTTGGTAATAGAGTAAATTTTTACTTTATTCACTACTTTCTTTGTCACTTCCCTTTATTTTGAAAAGAAAATTAGAATTAGGATAAGTGTCAAACAATTTTTCTTTCAAAAATATAAAGTCTGTGTCTGGGGTTACTCTTGTGAACTAATATTCGTATTTTTAGAGGTTAATTTTTATTGTAGTTTAAGGTTTCCACCTATGATTTTAAAACTGTCACTTAAGAAAAAAGTTTCGCTCGAGTATATTATATTTAATTACTATTTTATATGCTTAGTAGAAATGAAATTTTATCAATACCTACATCACATATTTAAAACAATATCTCTTTTGGGCTAGGATATTGTAACAACCAAATAAAGTTACTACTATGTTACTACCAACAAATCTCACCGTTAGATTGGTTATCTCATCATATGGTCCAGATTAGATCCTTAAATAGCCCTCTTTCTCCCCTTCTCTCTCTCACTATACGCTCTGCCCATCACAGTTGCCGCTCCCATCACCGCCGTCGAGCCGCCGCACTCTTCCGCCGCTGCTGATGCCTACTGCAGACCCACCGCTGTTATCCCTCTCATGGTTGTGCGCCCCTCGCCCTTCCAAGCATGGATATTATCCCTTCAAACGCATGAAAAACCTATTAACAGATTAGTTGACCTTTTTAATACCATTGATCAAAAGAAAGAAACATAAAGCAGTTTGTTGATGTGTACAGAAGCCATTGACAGTTAACCAGCGGAAAATAATAAGGTACAACACCATGCTTGGCAGATTGTGCAGGATGACTCTGTCTGGGATTTGTTATTTTTTTTTGCTATCCTTTTGTTAGGGTTTGTATAGAAGGGAAACAAGAAACTATGTATGTCAGTGTCTCGGTGATGTAAAAAAATGTTCACAACTTTGAGAGGGATAACGGCTGTGGGTCTGCGATAGGCAGCGGCGGCGGCAGAAGAGTGCGGCGGCTCGGCGGCGGTGATGGGAGCGGCGGCTGTGATGGGCAGAGCATATAGCGAGAGAAGAAGGGGAGAAAGAGGGCTATTTAAGGATCTAATCTGGACTCTAGGATGAGATAATTAATCTAACGGTGAGATTGATTGGTAGTAATATAGTAGTAACTTTATTTGGTTATTACAATATCCTAACCTCTTTTGGGGAAGGTTATAGTTACTACTTCTTTTTGTTACTACTAAATCGTAACCGTTGATTTTCGTCAATCTAACGGTTATAATTTATTAGGTCATACTTATTAATTAATTATAACCGTTAGATTGACGGAAATTAACGGTTACGATTTAGTAGTAACAATAAGAGGTAGTAACTATAACATATCCCTTACAATATAGGTCTATATAAGATTTAGTACATGTGATGTTCATTTATATGGTTTTGGTCCTTATCATCATTATTATTTTTATTTTATACCGTTTATTATATTTGTACTCATTTAAATTTTGGTTTTAATATTAAATATCGGTCCCGATTTTTTTTATTTAATTTTTAGTTTTTAAATATCTACTCGTGAAAGTATTGATTCCGATTTATATGATCTTAGATTGGTCTTTATATTTTTTATTTATTAACTTATCTTTGAGACTTGAGAGAAAAAAATTGAAATGAAAGAAAATGTAATTAAGGATGGGCATTTAAAAAAAAAAATATGATGACCAAAACTCAAATGAGTAAAAATTACAAAAACGAAAATAAAAAATATTTCAGATTCTAAAAAAGATATGCACAATTAACTAAAAAATTTAAAAGGAAAATAATTAAAAATGACTTGTATTATTACTTAAAAGATAAATACATTAAGAAAGTATGTCACCATAAAAGAAAAATATTCTAATTTAACATATAAAGATAGATTTGTTAAAAAATACTTGATTATTACAAAAAAAATACTTGATTGAGCTTACCAAAAAAAAATACATGATTGAGGAAATAATAAATTCATATCTCATCCAAATTGTGGAGAATCTTTACAATAAAGTGGCTGTAGTTTAGTGGTAAGAATTCCACGTTGTGGCCGTGGAGACCTGGGCTCGAATCCCAGCAGCCACATTTTGTTTCTTTTATTCTTCATAACTATTTACGTTAGGCATACTAGATATTCGGCGGTAATTGTTTTAAGGGAAAAACTACTCTTATGCAACATAAGAGTAGTTTATCTCCTATAGACCCATCGAAAATCGTGACACTCTTTTTTCTTTTTTTTTCCTTTTTTGAAAATAGTGGGTCCTACAACATATGTCTCTACAACATAAGGTATCTTCTCTCATGTAACATGAGATTAGATGAACCCTTGTTTTAAAGAGAGATATTTAAAATCTTAAAAATGTTGATAAATATTTTCATTAATTTGATATAACTATAATATTCAATTTTTATATTATTTTTAATAAAATACAATATTATGATACTAATTAACATTTTAATAAGATAATAGTGTCAAAAAGGAAATGTTATAAAAATTGACTCGGTTATCGAATCAGTCAGAGTACTGGGTCACTGATTCAACTTCATGACCCAGATATATATAAGAAAAAATAATACTGGAAGAAAATATGAAAATACAAAACTCATTTCAAAATTATTAAGTTTTCTTCTTTTTTTAAATGAACCCTTTCAGTTTCCATTCAAAAGATTGACATTACCGAGAAGACTCTGGCACTCTTCTATCATGTACTAATAAATAAATAATTTATTTATAGAAAATTAAAGAAATCATCCAACTACAATAAACTTTTGGGAAAAATCAAAAGACTCAATTTCTTTGTTCACATCAGCGCAAAAAGCACAGTGTTTTCCCTCTTCCCCTTTCCCATTCTTCTATGTTTCAATGTGCTTTTTCTTTTTCTTCTATGGTTAGAGCAAAGAAATCTCTTAAGTGAAATCTGATTAGTGATCGTAGTACTGTCAAAATGGCGAACAACTCCTTGACACATCTCTTGCAATGCATGTCCAATTTAAAAACGACAGGGATGGGTCTGTCATCTTTCTCAGTCTCATTCTTCGCCTGTTCTTTTTGCTACCATGTATCTAAATCTGTTATTTTTCTGCTTCTTCGCCCATCATATCGGTGGAGTATTATTCTTCTTTGTCTATCATAGATCTTGAAGATGTCCAGAAGAAATTTGGGAAAGTTCATCACCGGGTTGATTTGTTTGATCCCTCGAGTCACCGGTTTAATCACTAACTGGCCGGTTCAAGCCGATTCATACCGGGTCACTTGCATATCCGATCCTTGTTGTTAACTGGACCGATCACTCCACCGGTTTATCGATTTCCGATTCGAACCGGCCGAGCCGGTCCAATTTTTATAACACTGTAAAAAGGTGTAAAATTAAATTTGCTTATTTAATTAAAAACTTTTAGTCCAACTAGTATAAAAACTTCAATTATATAATAAAATATTAATAGGTTTTTCATAATATGATGGTAATCAATATTCAAATTCTGTTTTTTTGTAGATAGAAAATTATGACACATCAATATTTTGATGAGATCACATTGCTGTAACAGTCAACGGGCTGGTCTGAATAACCAAGAGAAAGTGTGTAGCCGTGTAGGTAGAATCGACAAATGTAAATTCAAATTAATATAGATGGCCCAACTATCTGGCTCGAATTAAGTCAAGTGAATCCAATAGCTTGATAATAAGTGAAGAGAGTCTATTATTGTCTTTAATTTAAGAGGAAAATATGTATTATTTTAAAGGATATAAAGTTATGTTATTTTAAGTGAGAAAAAGAGATAAATCATGAAAGAGAGAATAGGTGAGAAAAATTTTAAAAGTGAGGATCCCATCTTTTTGTGAGAATAAAAGAATATAAGGTGTGTCATTTAAAATGACACACCTTTTTTTCTTAATTTAATGTATATCAATGTTTGTATAA